GCAGTCTTGTGGGGCTGAATGGCCTACTCCTGATTCTACGGTCCTATAATGCTGAAACAGCTAAATTGGCCCAAGATCAGTATGCAGGTGTTTATGCTCTAAATGAGCTTCCTGCCATCCTATTTCATCTCACTCCATCCTTTACTTCATTTCTTCTCCATGTATTTATCTAGCTTCCACACACATGTCTACGCTGCTCACCTCAATCAGTAACTGTAACTCTATTAGCCAGCTGGAGACTAGCTCACTCAGCAAAGGCTAGTGCTTGTGCCTGAGACTACACCAGCTCATTTGGCTCAGTGCCTTTCTGGATACCAGCAAACAGGAATGGGAAAGCAAAACTCATGCTTCCATTGAATGTTATACCTTCATTTCAGAGAGCTACTTGATTGGGTAGGTGGTTAGTGCTTGTAGGAAAGCTTCTGCAGACTTTTCCAAATGCCCAGACACAAAGTAGTTTAAATGAAATTTCCTACTCTCCTTCAGAATTGCACACCACACACACAAACAGACAGTCAGACAAGGATCTTCCTATTTCGGACCCTAAAAGTAGGAGAACCTGCCATCTCCAAAAGTAATAAAAACTACTGTGAATCTTCCAGGATCTAACAACATCCCACTTAATTAAGTTCAGAGCAACCATGTGAACACACACACATGCACGCACACACACACAAACCAGACAGACACACACAGAGAAACTCACACAAACCAGACAGATAGACACACACAGAGAAACTCTCTCACACACACACACACACACACACACAAACCAGACAGACAGACACACACAGAGAAACACACACACACACACACACACACACAGTAGTATGGATACAATTGCACATACGCACAGACAGGTGCAAACACACAAATAGACAAGCAGCCTGTTTTTAAACTAAAAGCTTGCAGCTGCATTGGAGGAGCTGTCACAGTGAATAAGCTGGAGAAAAAAAATTTAAAAACAGAAAATAGAATCTAACATTTAAATATTGTACATAATTTAAAAAAGTAAAAAAGAGAAGTTGTTAACCAAGCTTCATTCAATGATTCTGTTTACACTGAACACACTCAGACTGAAAGTAACACATTTATTTTGAGGGTCTGCAAATCTCTGCAAGCCTTCTGCATATTGTGGTTGCTACCTGTGCCCTTTAGAACAAACGGTTATTTTTTTCCCCCCACTGAGTAGTCCAGACACTTTTGTAGTGAAGACTAAATAGATAGTTTCCAGTATAACATTCAGTTTGGAGGAAAACTTAAATTGCTGGAGAAACGCAGCAAGTTTGGCAGCATCTGTGGACAGAAAGCAAAGTTAATGTTTCAAGTCTAGTGTCCTTTTTTCTTCTATTCATTTGTGGGATGTGGGCATCACTGGCTGGCCAGCATTTCTTGCCCATCCCTAGTTGCCCCCTTGAGAAGGTGGTGGTGAGCTGCCTTCTTGAACCGCTGCAGTCCTCCTGCTGTGGGTTGACCCACAATGCTATTAGGGAGGGAATTCCAGGATTTTGACCCAGCGCCAGTGAAGGAATGGCGATATATTTCCAAGGTGAGTGACTTGGAGGGGAACTTGGAAGTGTTGGTCTTCCCATATGTCTGATACCCTTGTCCTTCTAGATGGAAGTGGTCGTGGGTTTGGAAGGTGCTGTCGTAGGATCTTTGAATTTCTGCAATGCATCTTCTGCAGTTTACTTTAAAATAATTCACCCTCCAATAGCCCCACACCAAATTGTGACAAATTGCATGCCAATGACTTTCAGTCATTAGTGAAGAAAACCTTGGAAATCAGACCATATCTGTAACCTTCCAATACGTGCTCCTCTGAAACATGTTGAGATGTTTTACTTTGATAAAGCTGTTGGGTAAATACAAGTTCTCATTGTACTAGATCAATTCCCAACAGTCAGACATTGAATTGGGGAATTATCAAAAGTGTCCAGGTCTATTGCACATGTGGTTAAGTCAGCGTGTCAACGTTCAGTTGAGACACTGACTTTAGCCATGTGATAAAGCAGGTGGTGTTCCAAAACCCCACTGTATACCTTCATCAAGAGCTTAATAAGGTGCTTTCACTACAGGAAGCTTGATGTTCTTGTAACCAATGACGCCACCCTCCAAGGTTCCTACAACAACCACCCTGATTTAAAAATTTTACCTAGCAAAAATTAGGAGTGAGAAGTTTAATCAGTCTAGTCTCTGACATTGCAGCTCTCAGTAGAATGCTACCGTTATCACCAGGATCTCTCCAAGTACACGGCTTTCCTCCCTCTACACTTGCCTGGGCAGGTGTAGCACAACAACAGTCAAGAAATTTGTGACCATCCATGACAAATCTATTTTGATAGGTGTTTTTGCGGACGAACGCAAGTTATCTTTCCTATGCTGTTGGCAAGATCTGACTGCAGGAATGTACCAAACATGCTTCAACAGTGCACTTGAATCACATGGCTTCTACTTCCAACATAGTAGGAAGTATGAAACACCATCAACTGCAAAAATCTTTGGGTCACAGAGCATCCTGAATTGGTCTTACAGCAATGCTTTTTCTAATGCTGCTGAGGTCCATCATCATAAAAACAGAAAAAAATTACAAAGAAAAAGTCCAACACTACCTTCCAGAGGGAGGACAGGTAGAGATTGGTAATGAATGTGACCTTGTCAGAGTCATCCACAGCCAAATAATACATTTGAAGAAATGTCTCCTCCTCAAAATAGGCCCAGTTAATATTTGTCACCTAAATCACTACAGCCACTGTCCACAAGGCAAAACTCAGGAGTGTGACGAAAACTCCCCACTTGCCTGGATGAATGCAGCTCCAACAACACACAAGAAGCTTGGCACCAGAAAAAAAAAAGCAGCCCTCTTGATTGACACCACATCCACAAACATCCATTCCCTCCACTACCAATGCTCAGTAGCAGCGTACAATATTCAAGATGTACTACAGAACTTCACTAAAGCTCCTCAGACAGCTCCTTCCAAACCCATGACCACTTTCATCTGGAAGCACATGGAAATACCACCACCTGCAAGTTTTGCTCCAAGCCACTCACCACCGTGCCTGAGTCTAAATCCTTGAATCCCTCCCTAATGGCATTGTTTGTCTACCTACAAAACGTGGACCACAGTGGCTCAAGGCAGCAACGCACCATGACTTTCTCAAAGGGTAGATAGAGACAGGAAATAAACGCTGGCCCAGCCAGCAATACCTACACCCTATCAGTGAATTTTTAAAAAGCTACAGTTCAAATCGTGTCCAAGAGACAGTGTCAAAAGGAAAGGAGTGACAGACATGATTCTTTGAGACTGTTCTCTGGGTCAGGGCAGCAGGAATTGGCAAACAGTGTGCAATGCTCCATTAAAAGTCTCAGGCTTTCTTTAGCTCATCGGTCTCTTACTACATGAACACACATGATGGCTCCCAAGGTGATCTTCACCTGACAGATCACTTTATCCTTTCTCCCTCTAATGCAACACAAAGGTGAGCAAGATTTCCCTTTTTTCAAGGGGCTGTGGTCTCTGTCAGCCTCATCCTGAGGTTGTCTATTTTCCCAGCAGGGAGTGACATGGTGGTAATGTCACTGGACTAGTAATCCAGAAGTTCAGGTGAATATTTTGTCATCATGAGTTCAAATCCCACCAAGGCAGATAGTGAAATCTGACTTCAATTTAAAATAAATCTTGAAAATCCATGAAAAATATCCATGCGACCAGCATCAATTGGTATTCTTTAGGGAAGGCAATCTGCCATCTTTACCTTGTCTGGCCTACGAGCTCAATTTTTAACTGCCTTCTGGGCAATTAAGGATGGACAATAAATTCTGGCACATGCTACATTCCATGAACGAATCAAAAAAAAATGCCGAGTCAACTACCAAGACCTGTCAACTATTTAAGTGAGAGTCAGATATATGTCACCCATTCATGCACTCCAATGGGTAGAATAGAACAGAATAGAATAGAATATCCTTTACTGTCACATGCACTCAAGTACAAAAGTACATGAGTACAGTGGAAAGTTTTACAATGTCATTTCTTATGATGCCATCTTAGGTACAAGTACCTAGGTACAAATCCTTGATACAAAAGAGGAATAAAAATGAAAAGTAGTTGCATTACTTAACAGTGTTTTAAAAATAAGTTAGAAGTAAAACATAGTTAAAGGATTGACATTACAGTCAGGTAAAAAACTGGTGTAAACACTGGTCAATTTGAATATTCAGCTGTGCTCATAACTTTGTAATAACAATCTGGCACAGGCTGAGTTAGCCAAGTGGTAACAGAGTTACTGTACAGTGAATGACATCAAAAGGCAGCTAAGCAAAACCCAAGGTTCTGTTCCCTACCACAGAACAGGAAAGTCTGCAGTTGGACCTGTGGTGCGTGGTAAGAGATAGATCTCAGCAAAGGCAGCTTTAGTGCCACTGGGATTTTCTGTGAGCTGGGAAGTACAATGTGCCAAGTTCCATCTCCTGATTTCAACCTGGTTATTCGCATGAATGTGAAGTGATGCATTTTGGAAATGTGAACAAAATGGCACAATTTTGAAAAGGTATGATGGTTCAGGAAACAGATATTTCACAGTGGTTGCATCCACTAACCATTGACTGTCACAAGAAAAATAGATAAAGCTGCTAAAAAGCATGGCTTTATAACAGAGGCTCAGTGGAGAAATGCAAGAAAGTAAAGTTAAACCTTCATCTATCATTGTTTAAACATGCCCTAGAAGACTGCGGTCAATTCTGGACACCACATTTTCCAGTGGCTTGGGGTCAGGAATTGGGCACTGTCAAGGCCTTGTAGAGGAACGAATATAGTAGAATAGTACCATAGGGAAAAAAAAAGGTAAAAAATGCTCAAAATTATCCAACCACTTTACACACTTTCCAAAATGTTCTCTTTTCTAACTCCACAGCACACTTGCTGATTTTTAAAATGCATTTTAATTTAAATATCGATTTCAACAGAAAGCTACTTAAACTTTCAGCAAGTAACTTACTTCTGTAGAAATTCTTCCAGTCCACATATCTTCAAGACAAAGTTGTCAACGTTTATGCCACGGAGGTTGTCATAGATGTAACAGAGAGTCTGATAAATGACTAGATCTACTGTGGAGCCCCCTGGAAAACAAGGCAATGTCAAAACCAATGAACAATTTGTATTTATATTCAACTTTTAACTCGGTCAAAGATCCCTTAAAGGAGTACTCTCAAACAAAAATTGACACTGAACCATAAAGAGTACGATAGGACAAGTAAAAAAAAAAGCTTTGTCAAAGAAATAGATTTTATTGAGCATTTTAAAAGGTGGGGAAGTAGAGAAATACAGAGTTTTAGGGAGTAAAATCCTGACCTTGGAATCCAGTCAGCTGAAATAGAAAAATTGAAGGCATGACTGCCCATGGAAGAATAAAGAAAATAGGGCAGGGCACAAGGTCAGATTTCTAAGAAGGTTGCAGGTCGAGATGAGGTTACAAAAGTAAAAAGGGGCAAAGCCTATGACGAATATGAAAGTGAGGGACAGAAGTTCAAAATCAGGGGTGACAGGTGATCTCGCAGTAGAGTTTTGCAAATTTTTAAAGACGGTACAAGGTAGAAGACCACCAGGAGATGGGACATAATGAGGATGAGGGTCATAGTAGCAACAGATGATGTGAGGCCAGGGCAGAGACAGGTGATACTACAGAAATGGGGCTAGGATGCCTTTAAAGATCAGGAGCTTTACGACTCTTACAACAATAAAACAGAGGAAAACCCTGAAGTAAGGGCTCTGGAGCCAATATCACATGTGTCATTGCTCAGAGATACACCCATCTGCACTAAAATCTGTAAAGAGCAGGTTTGTTTTTAATCTAAGATGCAAGAACATTAGAGTTCCTTCAGTGTCAGATTTTATCCTGCACTCATCTATCAGCTCATTGAATATAAAAGGTGCACAGTTTGCTCTACATGATATGAGCGAAACTGGGATTAAAGACATAAGCAGCAGTACATCTGATACCAGTGATTTGTGAGGCTTTAAGCAGCATGCACTTTCCATTCGTTAATACACATTAGAATGCACAGGCAGGGAAAAGCCACAAATTTTTGAGTGGTATATTGGTTTGGCAGCATATTGTATCACTACTGATGAATCAATTTAGATAGGTGGAGATAATGAAATTCTAAAAATGCTTACAAGGCTCCCCTTTAATAGGGCAACTCTCCTTCTAAATGTCGTTAAGCTGACAAAAAGATACATGTAGAATAAATTGACAGGTCTACTGAAGCATTTCAGTTTTTTTTTGTCAACTTTTGGGTGTTAATTTATTTCACTTGCACTCAACCGCTTCAGTAACCTCTTCCTTGGCAGCTGCCTGAGGAGGTCATCACCTCTTGCTATTTGAAACAAATTAAAATGCTAATTCCTTGTAACAGATTGATTGAAAGGGAACATTTATTGTATAAGAAATTCCTTCTCCAGTATTCTCCCCTCTCCTGAAGGGACTGTCACGCTGGTGTAAGGTTCAATGGATGCCAGCTGCCATTCAATATCCTACACAAACTAGCGTATCTTCAACTGTGAACTGAGACCAAGTATCTAGACAGGGTGTATGAGTGTGGGGGTATCAGGATCAGGACATGTTCTGTCCCGATCTGACAGGTACCCTTCATCACCTCTGACCAGCGATCAAGACAGGAAATCCTTTGTGATTTTCCCACCCTAGACCAGATGAGCAGAGACGCAAGATTTGCTCTTTGATTAGCCATGTCCCTGGCTCAGATTGGCTAACACCACACATAGAAAATCAAACCTGGGAACTTTTCAATTATATGGGTCCGTTACTGAATGGGTTTATTCACTACAGCACTGAAATTGGCGCCTGAGAGAGGATTGGGCCGTTCTTTAAGGTCGCCTCTGTGGCTAGATTATGGGGTAATGTTTGTAAAGATGCAATAATAGAGAAATCATGTTGTAATTGGCAGTTAATCCATGCCAGCAGTGGTTTGGGATCATCGCCAATCCAAGCAGATAAACAGTAAAACGCTGTCTTGTTCGGGCCTCCGAGCTGTCTGCATCAAATTCATCCGAGGATGATGCACAGCGGGAAATGTTTAGCAAAGACCAGACTCCTCCAAAAGTGAGAGAGGAAGATTTATGCGCATCATTGGTCAATACCGATTTATAGATATTGATGCCTTGGTCATGAACAGTAATGAGAGTAACCCAAAAGTCAAATCAAAAAGCGATGTATTGCAAGCTCAAAGGAAAACTCAGCAATAATTGAATGCTGGCACTCAAAAAATTGCAAATATACGTGTATACATACTAGGAGCAGAATAGGCCATTTAGACCCTGCTCTACCATCCAATGTGATCACGGTTGATCTGTTTGTTTTTCAAATTCCACATTCCCTTCAATTCTGTTAATGTTTCAGTCCTTTTCTAAATAAGAACCTATCAATTTGTGTCTTAAAAATATTCAAAGACCCTTATTCCATCATCTTCTGAAACAGAGATCCAAAGTCGCATCACCCTCAGGAAAAGAAAAAAATTGTCATCTCGGTCCTAAAAGGGTAATAAATAACACATATCACAGAAGGAAAGAAGAAAATCAAACTCATAGGTATGAGTTAGAGGCAAACTTGTTTCAGGAAACTTGTTGATGCTATTGATTTACAGTCCGATGTGAATCACAGGGTAAATATAGGTATTATCTGAGTCCAAATACAGGAGAACCTACAGAAAATACTAAACTGAAATACTGCATGGAGTCTCCTGTTAATAAGTTCAGTGATTCAAAGAACAAATAGATTTTCAAGGTGTATTGTATTTAACTGGATAAAAATCATTCAACATTGAGCTTCTTTAATTTGGTTTCTCATTTATATAACAGAGAAATCTTCTATAAAACAAAAAAGACACACACCACTACACTTCGTTCAAGCAAATAACACTTATAATCCTGGCTACAACCATCAGATGTTTTGATTGAATAACTGGAATAGCTCGGGACCAAATCCAAAACTCACCATCACATGTGAATGTAAGTGGCTCTGACAGACTGCTGGCAGATACGGTAACTTTCACACTGATGCCATCTCCGTGTTGGTCATTCCTGATGACGACTGGACTCCAGATTAATCCCAGGTTTTTTGCCCCGTCACAGGTGTAGCTGCTTCGAAGCCTAAAGATAGAAAGAACAATTACCACAGGTGATTTGGTGGTGAGTTGTATGTGATAGCACTTCTGGATAGAGAATAAAAGAAAGCACAATTAGGGAGGGCTCTCTTGTTGTGTGGGAGTGTCCTTCTACCTCTGAGCCAGGAGGCCTGGATTCAAGTTCTACCTATTCCAGTGGGGTGTCATAATATGCCTGCACAAGTTGATTACAATATCCAGAAAGAACAATTAGACAGTTTGAATCTTTCTCCATTAGCTTTCACAATAGGATTTTACTTAGAACTCCTGATTCCCCAAAGCCTGTACATGATCTACATGGAACAAGTCAGGAGTTAATTGGCACGCTCTCTGCTTGCCTGGATGGGTGCAGCTCCAACAACAATCAAGGAGCTTGACACCATCCAGGGTAAAGCAATGCTCTCGACTGATACCTCAACTAACACCTTCAACATTCACTCCCTCCACCAACAATGCACAGCGACATCAATGGGTAACATGTACAGGATGCACTGCAACAACTCACTATGGCTCTTTAGGCAGTACCTTCCAAACTTCTAGATTCTACCACCTAGAAGGACAAAGATAGTAGAGACATGAGACCACTACCAGCGGCACGTGCCCCTCCAAGCCACACACCATCGTGACTTGGAACTAATATCATCATTCCTTAGTGATTATGGGCCAAAATCCTGAAACTTCCCTGCCAACAGCCTCAAGCATGTAACTACACCGTATGGACTGCAGCAATTTGAGGGGCATCCGACCACCTTCTCGGGGCAATTAAGATGGGCAGCAAATGCTAGCCTCAGCACCACTGTCCACATCCCATAAACAGATTTTAAAAATATTGGAT